ACATTATACAAAATGGCTGCCCTCAAATGTTTAAGCCAAAACTTTTTATCACAAAAATATTGAAGATCTTAAATTTTTTATTAGTTCTATCAAATATTTTATATGGGCGTGGGATTTACATAGGATCTATTGTGTGAATTTCACATTTATGTAAGATATTTGATAAAAATTTTGATAGAATTTTTAAAATCTCTAATATTATTTATTTTTTTATTTTTTATTAACCAATTGTCCCCTGTTAGTTACAAAGTACACCTCATTTTTTAATCTCCATTAATAGAGATTTGGATTAGGAAATATTTGCTCGCTATGTTCGGTGGTTAAGGAATTAATCCATAAGATGATATTGTGGGTGTGAAATTTGTTTAGCTTTGTTTTTTCATTTTTTTTTTAATATTTACCAATCAATCTTATTAATTAGATTTATTTATCTCAAATCATGACGGATAAATTTATCACTTGAAGGCTTCGTTTGGAAAGTGGGTTGACTTTTTGGTTTTTTGACTTTTTTGGTTATTTTAGCATGGGCTAAAAAGCTTGGCCTGGGAAGAACTTTTTGACTTTTTCAATTTTTTTGTGAGAGAAGAGTATAATGCTTATGGGTTGGATGTGATGTTTTGATTTTTGTAGCTAAAATAGTCTATTTTGTCTTTTGTGACTAAAATAGCCACTTTAGCCCTTTCTAAACAATGCCTAAATTTATTCATAGGACTTAGGGGTTGTTTGTGGTGTCCTAAATAAGTGCACTTATTGTCTTTTTAGACTAAAAAATTGAGGAAAAAAATATGGATGTTTGGGTTAACTTTTTTGACTTTTTATGAAAAAATGTGTATTAAAAAATTGTATAAATTAGTATGTAGGGGAAAATTAGGATTGAGAATTGTGCAGCCGTAATTTTTGACTTTTGATGAATAGTGATAATTTTTTAACTTTTTGAGTAACTTTTTGACTTTTTTAAAGTTGCCAAACTTGGCCTTAATAGGAAATAAGTTACTTATTGATAATTTACCCCTTTTTTTTTTGGTTCACAAATCGACCTGATCACATCCTTGTTTCAAGGAATTTCAATCAATTAAGGAGTTCAAATGAATTAGTTGATGAGTGATCATATAGTTAAATAAATGGCTTTGTTAGCACACAAATCTCAAGATCTAGTAAATTAATTGTGGTTGTTTTAAAATCCAAGTATCTATTTTAATACATGAAAAATGATATTCACATTTCTATTTTACCCCTTATGCTCTATCTATTGTGTTTTTGCATCCCACAAGAGAAATGTGCAAGTATTATTTCTCTGATACGTTGACAAAAGGAGGGAGGGAGGGAGGGAGGGGGGTTTCAAGTTCTCAAAGCAATTTGTAGAATTGAATTAACCCCTCTTCCCACATCGAGTGTTAAAGCAATTTGTAGAATTGAATTAACCACTCAAGTTCTCAAAGCAATTTGTAGAATTGAATTAACCATTCCTCCCACCTCGAGTGTTAAAGCAATTTGTAGAATTGAATTAACCACTCCTCCCACTTCGAGTGTTTGGTTATGAATAATCACCATGTTTAATGTTCTTTTATAAGATAATAATGATTTCTAATGAATCTAATCATCATGTCATACCAACAGAAGACAAACTTTTAGAAGAGAAAAGAGTGATGAAATTTAAAGGAAGAAAACACTGACATGATGAATATATTTACAAATTGTGTTCATGGGAAGGGCATCTTCTTCTTTATAAGGAAAGATGATGGAACATTAATTATTTTCGGGTAATGCTACATATCATGAAATAAATATCATGAAAAACTTCATGAAACTAATCCAAGGGTGAATGTATAACATACAATAAAACACTATAAACACTATAATCTAATCCAAAGGTAGAGAATCTTCATGAAAATTTTTCATGACATTATTTTCATGATACCTAGCATTATTGATTATTTTTTATATCTTAAATTAGTATTAGGGTTCCCAACATGTTTCTTTAATAATTCCATTATTGTTTTTAAAGCACCGAAACGAGCATTAGACCTAATTTTACTTTAGATAATTGATCGATCACCTCTAGAAAACCTAGTTGGCATTGAAATCAACACATGCATGTCGAAATTCGAAAGCAATGCGAACCAAACAAACAAACACAGGAGAATCAAAGTAATAGTGAATGCATCAAAATCAATCAATCTAAAACATAAGCCCTGGAAGAAAAAAAAAAAAAAGAAGATAAAAAAAATCAGCTAAAGTTAAAGTTTTGCCTATATCATGTCATTAAAAGACAAAAGAAATAATGCATCAACTTTAATAAGAATGGTGATCTGATCATTGCCTTTAGGGCTCAATTAAGAGCAATAGGGCAACTTAAAATGGTCAATATACTTGGGTTTATTTGGTAAGTGACTTTTTCAACAATTTTGTTATTTTTTAATTAAGATATGAGGTGAAAAAAAAATAGTATTTGGAATTGACTTCCTACCTAAAAATGTGTAAAAAATAAAAACAATGAAAAAATAATTTTTGACTTTTTTGTATAATTTTTGACCTTTTTTTTTTTTTTTTTTTAGCCTTTTCCCAAACAACCCTTAGTCTGGTGATTGTTTTTCATGCTCAAATTATGCCATGCAACAAACAATGATGGCCTTACTCTTAGAAGCCAATGAAAAAAGGCACTTAACCTCCTATTTGAAAGCCGTTATACTATAAGAACCAACCACTAAGGCCAAGTTTGGATACTTTCAAAAAAGTCAAAAAGTCAAAAAGTTACTCAAAAAGTTAAAAAGTTAACACTATTCACCAAAAGTCAACAATTACGGCTGCACAACTCCCAATACTAATTTTAATTAGTAAAAAATCAACAACTGTGTAGCTTAAACATTTTGTATGTGTTCCCTATGTATAAATCCCCCAATACACATTACGTATGAATGCATTACCTCTATTGCGCTTACATTTAACATCAACAAGATGCTATTGGTGAAGAGAAGTTAGAAACAAAGATATATATAGTTGTGCTTTTGACTTTTTGTTGTCCGTTGTTTTAGGAAGTGAATTGCTTAATAAGCAGTTTTTTTTTTTTTTTTAATAAAAGCATCTGGGACTTTCTGGGTTCACATTCATCCTCATTATGTGTTTTTGTTGTTGTACTTTTTTAAGATGGTGGCTGGGAGAATCGGTGGGTTAAATCTGACTGGAAGAAAGATGAAAACTTGGCTGGGAAGTGGAACTTTACTTCTGGTAAATGGAATGGAGATGCTGAGGATAAAGGTACCTTTTTACTCTTTCTTATTCTTGTATGTCTATGACAGTATACAATTTCTTATTCTAGTATGTCTAAGAGATAATGATTTTTGCATAATCGCTTTGTGCTTGCTGCCATCATGGGTAATCCACTACTATGAATAATTTTTTCCCCATTTGATGGGTAATAAAGTATTTACTTGATATATGTACATAATATAACTTTTAACCTGCTAAATACAATTGCAACCCTGCTCTTTGTTGCCGTTAGTGGTTGCTTTGCTTAATATTTATCTATTTGGCCTGTCTTATATTCTTCTCCTATTGAGAGAACTTTAATAGCTCTAATTGTGTATCCTTCTTTATGTTGAAGTATGTGTGTGTCAGGATTCAAGAATGGGACCAACTATGCCATGTAACTTAAACCTATCCCTATTGCATAAAATTAGGATAACAAGGCAATTTTGTACAACTATTCAGCTCATCTGAAATTGGTTGTCTATGTAGTCACATGTTGCTTCCTTGAATATTAAGTGAAACGATTGGTACCCCCTTTGTTTTTGCCATAGTGGCCTAAAAAGGATACACTACAGGATAGCCGTTAATGATGATCAACACAAAAATTAAACAATAAAGAAAAAGAGAGAAGCATGTAATGTTTGGAGTTTTTTTTTTTTTAAAAAACCCCACCAAAAAAAAAAAAGCCCCTTTTTTTTTTTTTTTTTTTTTAACCCATACTTTATGTAATATTGAGAGTTTTAAAATAATAGCTCATTTTCATAGATCTTTTAATTTAAAGTAATAAGATCAAAATCTACCGCATCATTCCACATAGGATCGTATGTTTATGAATTTTTGTTTCCTTAATTTGATATCCTGATATTTTAACATATGCGTGGAGTGTATTAGAATAGGAAATAAAAAAAATTGAGAACACATTATTATTCTTAATCAAAAGCTAGTCCTAAGTATAAACATGCAAGGTTGCTGCTTTAAGTTTCCAGATTTTTATTGAAATTTTTAGAACTCAAAAAACAATCTAGCTCTTATTCTAGGTCCAAAATTTTTATTTATTTTTATTTTTTTTAGGCTACAAATAAAATAAGGCCAATCCAAAGCAAAGAAGTGTAATATTTAGACACTATTTAGCATAAACTAAATAAGTGCACTTATTTAGATAAATATATTTATTTAGATCATATCATTTTTTTATTTTTATATATTTTTTTTATAAAAAATCAAAATTATACTTATTTAGATCATTTTAAGTAATCCCTTAAGTGATATTAGTATTATGATTTTAGATTAGTTTCTATGCCTCCGTTTGGGAAGTGGGTTGACTTTTTGGCTTTTTGGTTTTTTGGCTATTTTAGCCTGAGCTATTTTAGCCTGGTTTGGGAAGGGCTTTTTGACTTTTTGATTTTTTTGACTTTTTTTGTGTGAGAAGATTGTAATGATTATGAGTTGGATTTGACGTTTTGTTTTTTGCGGCTAAAATAGCTTATTTTGTTTTTTGTGGCTATTTTAGCCCAAAAACCTGACTTTTTTCTTTCTAAACGGAGCCTATGTAATTTTTGTATATACAGAAGTAAATTTTTCTCTTTTTTATTGTGAATATATAAAGACGAGCACAATATTTTGTATTAATTTTCTCTATAATCATTTGTTTATTTGTTATTAATCTCTATTCATACCTATGATATAAATATAAGAAAGCTAGCTGGTGTGTCTGTACTTAGGCTTTACAACAAGGAGGCAAATATCTTATAATTTGATACTCTCCACTCCACCCTTTCCTCCCACCTTCCCAAATGTCCAAAATTCACTTTTTTTACTCTCTCTCTCTCTCTCTCTCTCTCTCTCACACACACACACACACACACACACACACACACACATTACCAACTAATTCTTCATTGTATTATAAATCCCTCTCCAAACCTCACTCTCCCATATCAAAACCCCATCTCTCTCTCTCTCTCTCTCTCTCTCTCTCTAAAATGGCTTTATTATCAGCATCATCAATTCCCATCTCTCCCAAGAAGCTAAGGCAAGATGTGTATTCATACACATACCAACAAGACTCAAACACACCACTAGTGATCTCTGTTCTGGCTTCACTGATTGAGAGAACCATGGCTAGGAATAAGAGAATTGCAAGAAATTGCAAGTGGGTTTTGTCTAGAAACACTTGTAGAACTGCTATTTTTGATTGCAATGAGACACCAGACTTGACAATTCAATCCTATTTGGAGAGAATTTTTAGGTACACAAGAGCAGGACCGTCGGTGTATGTGGTGGCGTATGTGTATATAGATCGGTTCTGTGAAGCTCATCCTGAGTTTAGAATCAATGCCTGTAATGTTCATAGGCTTCTTATTACTACTATTATGGTTGCTTCTAAGTATGTTGAGGACATGTAAGTTTCTCTCTCTCTCTGTCTTACTTTATTTATTTAAATTTTTTATTTTTTTTTGGAAAGATTATAGTGTTGGAAAAATGTATAAAAAGTGTATTAAAATGTATAGAAAAATATTTTGATATGTAAAATATATTTTAAATTATAAATATTTTGACATTTTTTAGTGGATATTGACAGTTTTTACAATTTTCATTTTTTTTTTTGATTAACATGCCCTTTTTTTTGTTTACTTGGCTAATTTTGAGTAAAATGTTTTTTCTTTAAATTATAAATTTGGGCAAAATTTTTTAATAATAACTAAGGTCTAAAGTTATAAATCTTAAAAATTTGAGTCCAAGAGTGAGAGAAGTTTTTGAATATTTTTATCAAAATTTAAATTTGACATAGGTTTTCAATTAAGATTAAAGATGCCTTGGGGTTTGGCAAATTTTTTAATAAATTTTTACTGTTTTTTTTACTTTTTGAACAGAAAATTGTAAAAAAAAGTCGATGCATTTATTAAAAAATAAAAAAATTGTACTTTCGTTATTGGGAAAGTTTATTGGAAAAATTGTTTATTTTTTGGCTAAAAAAAAGCCATTGCTAAATAGACAAAAACTAATTTAACCCTAAATTGAACAATTATTGAGAAAATTTTTACGCTTAAGCAGAGAAAGTAAGAGGTTGTTTGGGATGACTTAAATAAGTGTATTTTTTGTCTTTTTATGAAAAGATGTGCAGAAAAATAGAGAGATGATGTGATGAAAAAAGATAAAAAGTGTGTACTTATTTAGAATAGCCAAACTTGACCTAAAATTTAGATTTCGTTTGGAAATTAACTATTTTAGTCGATTTTTTAAGTTTTTAAGAAAAGATTTTTTTTTTTTTTAGAAAGGGAGAGCAACGTGATTAGGCGCTTTGACTTTTTTTTAATGTTAGTAATTGTGGAATTACGATGATGTGCACCCTTAAAATGGTTCCCATTGCAAAAAAATAAAATAATATAATAATAATAATAATATGCAACTTTGTGGTAATAGTCTAAAATTTTCATTAAAAAGTATGTACAATGGGTCTAAAATTTTCTTTCTTCTTTCGTTGAAACAGGAATTACAGAAATTCTTACTTTGCAAGAGTTGGGGGATTAACAACAAACGAAATGAACCAATTGGAGCTAGACTTCTTATTCTTGATTGGATTTAAGCTTCATGTGAATGTAAGTGTGTTTGAAAGCTATTGTTGCCATTTGGAGAGGGAAGTGAGTGTTGGAGGAGGGTACCAAGTAGAGAGGACATTAAGATGTGCTGAGGAAATCAAATCAAGACCAAATCAAGAAATAGGATATGACCAAATTGCCCATGTTTTATTGTAGCAAATATCATATTTTTGATGATTACACCAAAGTTGGGATAATCAAATACTTTGTACAAGTTGTGTATAAATGTGTTTTTTTTGGCTTCTCTTGTTTGGAGCTTTCATTGAAGCCCCACAAAATGATGTATAAATATGTTAATTAATGAGTTTTTGTTTCGTTTTTGGGCTAATGCATGTTACAAATTTATTTTTACTTGAATTGGATGGAATAACAAAAAAAATCCCACTATAAATTGTAATCACATTTGCAATTCATTTTTATTGATATTTAAGTAATTCTATAATCACTTCAAGCCACAATGATTCATAATTGAATATCACAAATGTCATAATTAAGAATTAGTTTTTGTCAAATTTTAGAATGTTACAATTACAAATCTTTTAATTTGACAATGTTGCTTCAATTGCGCAAATATTGTCTTTTCTATTTCTTTACAAAAATTAAATATAAATATTATTTGTAGGTCTTATTAGAGAGAGAAAAATTACTATCAAAATTTGACATTTCAATGACATCATTATAGTTCGACATTATTATTGCTAAATTTTGTCTTTGATATGGTAACACACCAACAAAATTGTTATAAACTTGATATGACTTGGGTGGGGTGGAGTGGAGTGGACCGAGTGTAAATTTAACCTTCAACATTATACAAAATGGCTGCCCTCAAATGTTTAAGCCAAAACTTTTTATCACAAAAATATTGAAGATCTTAAATTTTTTATTAGTTCTATCAAATATTTTATATGGGCGTGGGATTTACATAGGATCTATTGTGTGAATTTCACATTTATGTAAGATATTTGATAAAAATTTTGATAGAATTTTTAAAATCTCTAATATTATTTATTTTTTTATTTTTTATTAACCAATTGTCCCCTGTTAGTTACAAAGTACACCTCATTTTTTAATCTCCATTAATAGAGATTTGGATTAGGAAATATTTGCTCGCTATGTTCGGTGGTTAAGGAATTAATCCATAAGATGATATTGTGGGTGTGAAATTTGTTTAGCTTTGTTTTTTCATTTTTTTTTTAATATTTACCAATCAATCTTATTAATTAGATTTATTTATCTCAGGTCATGACTGATAAATTTATCACTTTAAATTTATTCATAGAACTTAATAGGTAATAAATTCTAAAAGTGAAACTTATTGATAATTTATCCCTTTTTTTTGGTTCACAAATCGAGCTGATCACATCCTTATTTAATGGAATTCCAATCAATTAAGGAGTTCAAATGAATTAGTTGATGAGTGATCATATAGTTAAATAAATGGCTTTGTTAGCACACAAATCTCAAGATCTAGTAAATTAATTGTGGTTTTGTTAAAATCCAAGTATTTATTTTAATACATGAAAAATGATATTCACATTTCTATTTTACCTCTTATGCTCTATCTATTGTGTTTTTGCATCTCACAAGAGAAATGTGCAAGTATAATTTCTCCAATACGTTGAGAAAAGAAAGAAAAGGGAGTTTGTAGAATTGAATTAACCATTCCTCCCACCTCGAGTGTTAAAGCAATTTGTAGAATTGAATTAACCGCTCCTCCCACCTCGAGTGTTTGGTTATGAATAATCACCATGTTTAATGTTCTTTTATAAGATAATAATGATTTGTAATGAATCTAATAATCATGTCATACCAACAGAAGACAAACTTTTAGAAGAGAAAAGAGTGATGAAATTTAAAGGAAGAAAACATTGACATGATGAATATATTTACAAACTGTGTTCATGGGAAGGGCATCTTCTTCTTTATAAGGAAAGATGTGGAGATCATCAAATGATGGAACATTAATTATTTTTTATATCTTAAATTAGTGTTAGGGTTCCCAACATGTTTCTTTAATAATTCCATTATTGTTTTTAAAGCACCAAAACGATCATTTGACCTAATTTTGCTTTAGATAATTGATCGATCACCTCTAGAAAAACCTAGTTGTCCTCCGTTATATTTTTCAAGAGGCTCCTTTTTTTTTTCTTTTTTTTTTTGTCTCAGGATTTTCACAAGCATCATCTATGTTGAGCTTCATCTATTATTGGGTAATTTTTTCACCAAAAAAAAAAATAAAAAGATAAAAATAAATCAGCTAAAGTTAAAGTTTTGTCTATATCATGTCATTAAAAGACAAAAAAAATAATGCATCAACTTTAATAAGAATGGTGATCTGATCATTGCCTTTAGGGCTCAATTAAGAGCAATAGGGCAACTTAAAATGGTCAATATACTTGGGGTTTATTTGGTAAGTAACTTTTTCAATAATTTTGTTATTTTTTAATTAACATATGAGGTGAAAAAAAATAGTATTTGGAATTGACTTTCTACATAAAAATGTGTAAAAAATAAAAACAATGAAAAAATAATTTTTGACTTTTTTGTATAATTTTTGACTTTAGCCTTTTCCCAAACACCCCTTAGTCTGGTGATTGTTTTTCATGCTCAAATTATGCCATGCAACAAACAATGGTGGCCTTACTCTTAGAAGCCAATGAAAAAAGGCACTTAACGTCCTATTTGAAAACCGTTATACTATAAGAACCAACCGCTAAATAAACATAAAATGAAAATACCCTGTTTTACATGTTTGGTGATTAGTTCTGTATTCATATCATTTCTGATTAGAAAATACAAATGTTATGTATTTATGAAGAAAAAAATGCTTAGAATTTGAATCTATAGTGTAGATTATTAAACTTGACATAAATCTCATCTACACATTTTAAATTCTAACACTTTTCTAACTATATTTCAATCGATTAGAAAAGTAGAATTTATGGGTCATCAAACAATCAAAATTGTCCTAATACGAGATTTTTATTTTGTTAAAATTAAAATTCAGCTAATCAATGTTTTCCTAAAGTCTACAAAATGAACTTATGCTATACTTTCAAAACAATACATACACAAGAATTGACTTCTCTTCCCACCTCTGGGTGTTAGGTATGAATCCCCAAAATTATGCAGTTATATTAGGCGCATAAACATATATTTTGTTGTGAATGAAATGACAAATGTCCTAACAACTTGACACAATTTCATGGACAAAGGGGGAGAACAAAAATCATTTATAAAAAAAAAAAGAAAAAGAAAAGAAAGAAAGATAATCGACACGATTAGTGTACAAATCGTTTGTTAGGACATCTTCCCTGCTATAAGGAAACATACAGACAATGAGATCTTCAAAACATTATTTTATATCTTAAACCTGTTTTTGTGTTTCTTAACATGTTTTTCTTGTTTAATAACATTTCCGAAGTTTCCAAGCACTGAGACAAGCATCAGGTAATAAAAGCCATAATTAACAGGTTTACTATGAACTTTCATTGAAAAAAAAAAATGTAAAAAAAATAAAAATTACTAATTAGTATGAACTTTCATTAGTGTCTCATATTGGAAACAAATTCATTTCGGTTGTGATGTAATAGTATCGAGAGTATCAAGTGATACATATCATGAATCCGGTGATACAGTTGTGAATTTTTATAAATAATTGGGAACTAATTGGAATTGTCTCGTAAAAGGTATTTGTTCTAGTAGTACTATTCATAGTTATATTATAGAGTTTGGATTCTCTTCAGTCCTTTGCGGACTGACTATTCAATCTGGCAAATTGGACCCTGCACAAGACTTGCTTTGACAATTCATTTCGTTAATTTTTTAGGTCTCTGTATATGTATAGATCATTTATATATATATATATATATATGAAAAAAATAGACTGATTCAATAACTGTAGTCACATGAACTTATCATCTTTATTTTTAAAATAATAGATTGGAAATATGATTTCAAAAATAAATATTTTCTTGAATATAAAAATAATAAATATCACTATGATTATTAGATTAATTTAATTTTTTAAATGAATCACACGCAAATTTAAAAGATGAACAAAAGAGGTTTATCAAAAACAGGCCCGTGCTGGCTCAATAGGTCAAACTGAATAGACCAGTCAACTAACATGAGTAGGAGAGAATTCAAATTCTATTTTATTTGAAGCTTTTTTGAAGTTCTAGTCATGATAATAACAATACTCTCTCATGATGGAAACAGAGCGTAATTTAATTATTATAACTAGAACAATGAGTGGTTGTTAAAAGGGGGCAATCCTTACTTTCATTGATGATGTTGATACTTGTATTTCAAGAGATAGTGATAGAGATGAAGTCATAATAGGGTCTAAAAAGGGTCATGTTCCGGAGCTCTAATTAGAGCTGTAACAGTGCAGTTTTAATGAGCTGTCCAGCCATTGAAAAAAAAATAAATAAAAAAATAGTGAAGTAAAAAATAAAAAAGAGAGAAGAAAAAGACAGATTAGTGCTCTATGAGAGTTCTTTTTTTTAGAGGTCCAAATCATTTTTCGTCTAAAAAATGGCTTAACACACCAAAGGAATTTTCATGGAGTCAAAATCAGTGACGGTACTAGATATGGACAGTGTTGAGCTTATTATGTAATTCTAAGGCCTCGTTTGGATTAAATATTTGGATAAACTATCAATACGTTCTAATAGTTTGACTTAATTCCTATTAAGTCCCATTGAAAATAAGTTTTAGTAAAATCGTAACTAAAAATAATATTTCTTGATGAATGATGATTTTTTGCATATTGCTAAAAATTGATTATTAGTGACTTTTTTGTTAGGATTTTTATAAATTGTCGTTAAAACTTATAATTAGTGGCGTTTTTTTGTGACGAATTTTTTAAATTGTTGTTAAAAGTTAAAAATTAATGACTTTTTTGTGTCGATTTTTTTACATTGTTGCTAAAACTTACAATTAGTGACATTTTTTGTGATAAAATTTTTAAACTTCTGTTGCTGAAAATTAACAATTAGTGATTTTTTTTTTCATAGTGTTTGATGAAAAACGTCATTAATTATCATTGGACCTATTGAACAATAAATTCACCTATTAGAACTTACACGTAAGTTCTTAAATATTTTAGCCGAAAAATCAAAAAGTTACTGTAAATTGTCATATTAATTTATCTACTGTTTTACATATCTTTTTATAAAAATTTAAAAACTTACTAAAATATAATGTTTCCAAACAAGGCTTGAATGGTCCAATGTCCCTATCTATGATTTGGCAAACAAGACTTTGCAATTAGTTATCTAATTTAGTTTGATGTTAATGATGCACCTTCCAAAATAGTTTTGTGATGAAATGACATGACTTTTCTCTCCAAACAAAACTATTTTCCATTTCCATTATAAGCATTGGACTACAACTAAAAAAAAG